CAGGGCATTATCATTTGGAGAAGCCCTCAGTCTTTACAACTGCACGCCTTCCTCGGGCAGTTAATGGAAGACCTCAGGCTTCTGCAAATGATAATGCCCTGAAAAATAGCGTTACTCTTATAATAATGTAGATTGCTATCAATCCGATAAACTTGGTATCTATTCCGATAAATATGCAAATGAGGTCTACTACCAGGACCTACTTTGAAGCTCCATCCTTCGATGCAATGTCCCCTAGATCATAAACTTTTGACAAACATTGCCAATCAGTTAAGTTAAGATAGTAATTTGCCGATGTGTGGGTGATTATGTAGAGAAACAGGGCCGCAAATCATTTGGCACTATAGAATGAATGGGTCAGTTGTATTCATACAAGGTTTCAATACGGAGTAGATCAGGTTTTCAGCAACCCATGCTTGCGGTAAAAGGCGACTTAAGCTTTTCGTAAGAGGCGATTAACGGGATCTTGTTGTCAGGCTCGCTGACTTGATTGAGGCATGTCATTGATCCCAATTGCGTGGATCAATGCTCATGATGTCAATCACTGGATTGTCTGGTCAGGACTTGACGCCGCACTCAGCAATATTCCAGCCATATGACAGCTGTCAGTAAATAATCGAGTCTGGACCAGACAATCCAGTGATGAACATCATGAGCATAGATCCACGCAATTGGGATCGATGACGTGCATCAACCAAGTCAGCAAGCTAAACGCTGATATGCGTAATAGTGAGTGAGTGAGTGAGTGAGTGAGTGAGTGAGTGAGTGAGTGAGTGAGTGAGTGTAACAGTATTCAAGTTTTATCACGGCATGTCAGCTTAATGTGGGAGGGAAGCGCAGGGTGATGCAAATCTTAGACGTTTACCACTTCAATGAAACACACAAGCACGGGTATGGTGCTGACAAACTTAGGAACATAATCAACCTTCAACATGCGCTGTAAAAGCACGCTCGGATCATTTTAACAAAGTTTCCATCTCTAATCCCCAACCAATCCTCCCTAACCCCTCTAAGCCAAGTACAACCCCCCCGAAAACGTTAACGCTTACGGAATGTAAAAGACACGTGCCGTGACATTTGAGCAGCGGTCAAGTCAAGGGTCATTGGGAGCAATGTCCAGTGTCACTCATGGCCAAAGATAATCAACACTTGGCTGGTGGTCAGGTAGACATTGTCCGAGCTCGTGGCTGTTGACATTCGCGACTCAGATAATACGATGAGCAGCGCGTTGGAGGTGTAATTAATACCTCGCTATTCATGAACAGGGAAAATAAAAACACACACTAACACCTGTGTTTGTTAAATTAAATTCAAATTTAGACTGAGTTTAAAGTACCTGAAGGGGAGTCAATGGAGTGTGTTGTTTTATGGCTCAGTTAGTTTATCTGTCCTGAGACTGATGAGGAACTCACAACATTGTAAACGTGTATGTGTTTGAGGAGATTTACCTGGTCCTTTTGATGACGATTCAGGAAACCTTTCACTGGGATTTTTAAGAATTTAAAATTTGCATTCATAATTAATGTCCTTTGAACAAACCGCATACTTTTTTATCAATGTTTCAATTTTGAGGTTCCAAACATAAGGAATTTGTTTTTAAAAAGTTAATTTTGGGGATTTTTTAGGGGTCGTCGGGAGTCAGGGGAGGGTCACCAAAAGGTATGACAGTCTTTTGGGGACTAGGGGAGGAAAAAAAAAATTATACACATATTTGGGAAGCTCATGATAAAAAAGGGACATTTTACAAGGACATGGGGAGGAGGGGGGTAATTATTTTCAGTATGTTAGTGCATCAAAACCCTCTGACCCCTCTTCCCCCTGTAATATTGTGATCCCTTACTAAAACATTTTTTTAAACTTTTGCTATTAACAATATGATTGTAAGATGGACTTCAATAAAAAATTGCACTTTAAGAAGATGAGTTGTTTTTTCTTCACCCTTCACTGTGAATGTTTCCGCTGTGAGATAGATACTGGAAACTGACAGGTGAATATGGCTTGGCCCGGTGAATGCAAGGATTAATGGTCCCTGTGTCCACAGAAACATGGTGAATCTTTTCACTTGTAAGCATTACCTTACTCCAAGAGTACACATCCTTACAGCACAGGAAAACACGCTTCAAAAATCGCACAAAAATCACTCAAATCTCAAAGTTAATTATTTTCTTCTAAAAACATGTTTTTTCAAGACCAATTCATTCTTCTATGTCCCAGTGAGGCAACCAAAGACAAAGTCAATCAACTATGAGCATCTTCCTTAAATTATATTTTTGTTTGCTTTTAATATTCAGTCACTCCGAACTCATTTCATTCATCTTTTGTTTTGTTGTTGCCTGAGGCTAGAAAAATATAATTACTAGTTTTACAGATTCCTTGTCTCTTGTCAGCCATTTAAAAAAATAATTGTGTCTGGTCATATTTTATTTCAATTTCCAGTTACACAGACATTTTGACTATGTCTCCAGCAAAGACTTCACCTGTAGTAAGGACAGTCTTCACCCCATATCAATTAAGCAAAAACATTGGGTGTGTAATCTACGAAAGCCTAATGGTGCGTCATTGGTAGCATATAAATTTATTTTTAAATCAAAATTTCTCATTATTTCAATCATTTGTTTATTTTCTCGATATGTTCAAGTTTTCTCTCGTTATTTTGATATTTTTGTAATTTCATTT